ACACGCGAGTCTATTTCTGTGCTTACGGAATCTGCATCGTTGAAATTCGAAATGGCGAAATCGAGATTAAATCGTTATGCGATCATTTACGATACTGATGCTTTTTCTTTCCTCTTCGTCGTTGTTTCGGAACACGTGCGCGAGCGCCATTTAATACCGCACAATTCGTTTTTATATCGTCCAGAATTACAAAGCATTGTCGTGTAGAAAAAAGATCTCGATAGAAAGGCTACTTTTCAGTAGATTCATTTTGTAAAAAAAAGAAAAAAAAAAAAAAAAACAGAAGTGCATCAGCAAAAAAAAGCTGAAACATTCGAGTGTGTAAAGTAATATTGAAATAGGACCAAAATCGCGGCTGTTGGTCACCAGACGAGTTAAACTTAAATTAACTAATTAATCCATAGTAATTTATCGGCAAATAAAACGCGGTCCGTGTGTTGAGTTACCTTCGGAAGTATTTCTAAAATTATCATCTTCTTCTTCTTCTTCTTCTTCTTCTTCTTCTATTTTTTCTTTAATGTCGCATCGACAGCGAGGTCATTAGCGACGACGCTGCCATTAGATATGAGTGTAGTAGTTTATGCTTTTGAGGTATTTTAGTACTCTTTGTACGTCATTTTGAGAAGTCAGGTTTATGTTTGCGTTGATTCCGTATTTCTGTCTTTGGATTTCTGTGGTGTGGCATTCGTGCAGTATGTTGGTTATTGTTAGTGGATGGTTATTGCAGTGAGTGCAGGTGGGTGGTGAAGTATTTTTGATTTTGGTATGATGACCGGCGTTCTGAGGCGTGAGATAATTATTCCTTCTTTCCTGTTGTTAAAGTTTGGTGTTTGCTGGTGAAAGTCTTCGATACTTTTGTGTAGTACTTTAGGTGCTTTTAGTTGTTTTCCATGTATTGTTCCATTCATTTTTTTTTTGCTACTTCTAAAATTATATTTTTACGGTGGTTCTAGAATTGTCTAACGTGCCACGGCACGACTGTGTGATCGCGTTAATCGTAACGATCGTAACAATCAACAGTGGTGTAACTATCGGTGACACTGTCCTCAGGAAATCACGTGTCTCTTGTACGTGCCTGGTCTAGCGTCACAGTCAGAAGAGAGGAGTCGCCTCGCGTGGGTGGTCCGTTCGATCGTTTGAAATCCCGCGATGTTCGCGACTGCGCCAACAGCGACCATCCACCAGCCGCTTTTCTATCTCTCTCCCCCCCTCTTCTTCTTCCTCTGTCCAGTGTTCCTCTTCATTCAACTTTTCTACGGAAGTTCCTCCCGTTTCGGCGAGAGGGAAGAAAAATGTGGGTGGGACACGTTAGCCTACATTTCGCGCTGCTTCGCCGAGCTAGGAGAATCGGACGCGAGATCTGAAGCGGTTGGGGAACTTTGTATTCGGTGGCCGAGTTGGCAGGAGATTTCATCGAGGTGGACCTCGATCGATCCGCCGTACGTCCCGAAGAACGACTCCGAGCGAGCGAGAGAGAGAGAACAACCGTTGTTCCGAAATTGGCTCGATTCTTTTCTTTCTTCTTTCTTTCTTGCTCCCTTTTAGCTCGCGCACACGAGGATTCTCGTGAACGCACCCGCGAATGATTCGTGAATTTCTCCATCGCGGCGAGAAGGTCCACAAGTAGAATGGTGTTCGTGAAACGACGAGAATGAAACCGCCGGAGTTTGAAGAAGCTACAACCGTGCCGAGCTCCTCAGTCGTTTCACTCGTACGAAAATATTCTTTCAAACATGCACATACCGTATAAAACTGAATTTCTCGCGAGTCGAAAAAGCACCGTTTCTTTTCTCTTTCGAGCTCTTGCGTCTCGGGAAATTTATCTCTCGTTAAACTTTTCATCTTTTCAGACGCACACACACACACACACACACACGCACACTTCTTTCGTGAATATCTCTCCACCGCGGAGTATTTCTTTCCGCGAAATCTATCTTTCGCGATTGCAACAATTAACGTGCACGTTAGACATCCATCGGTTTTTTTTTTTTTTTTTTTTCTTTTGCCCCTTTGCTTTTAGCTACACAGATGTTCGTCTATCAGAAAGCAAAGAGCTTCAAGGCAGAACTCGTTACCCCATTTTTCCTACCTCTTTCTTTTTCTTCGCCTCTCTCGTGTCGTTCTACCGTTTCCCTCGCGGGAGCCTCGTATCTTTTTCCTCCGTCATTTCTTCCTCCACGCCCGGCCGGCCTGTGTAATTCGCGGCCCTGGAAATTCGTCGGTTTCTTATCGGAGGAAGTCGGCAGCGCTGTTCTTTCCATTCTCGGAACTCGTCACGTCCGGCTTGAAATAATGCTCGCGTCCAAGAAATACTCTTTACTCGGCCTTTCAAACTTCTAGTCCTCCACTACGGAAATATAACAGACACGTTAATTTTCTGATCATTCCGCTGCTCCGGTGATTTCCTCGCTCGTGATCTGTCGCTGCTGTCGTCATTTTTTAATTTTATTGAACTTCTTAGCACTCTTTCTCTAGTTTAATTTAACGGGACAGTTTGACGGGCCTAAGAATTACTAATAAAACAAAAGTACATATTTGATTGACACGAGCTTTTGTGATTTATTTTCACATATTATGAACTATAAAAAGCAACATTAAAAAAGGAAAAAAGGTGGCTCTCATTTAACTTTTTAACGGCATCCTTTTACATAACTTTTTTTTACATTGCCTATCGGTTTAGCTGCAACAAAAAAAGTAAACAATATTCTCTAGGAATTGACGATCCAACATTTTCATTTCTGTGAAAATTATGAAAATAGCGGCTACTTGTTTTTGACGTATCGAATCTGTGCCAAAAATTTCTACGTTTTTTGTTTATATTTTTCGAAATTGTTAAAAATTAAGAAATGTTCGATCGTTAATCCCTAGGAAATGTTATACTAACGATACGTACCAAGTTTCACAGTAATCGGTTGGTTAGATTCCGAGATATCTTCTTTAGAACACCGTTTCTAAAAATCTAGTTTCGAGAAAAACGCGTTTGAAGTTTCAAAACGACATTTTTCGTATGTATCCTTTACTTACTTTTTTTACTTATACATCGCGGCTCACAGTTCTTACAATTCACAACTAAATTGAGTCCAAGTCCCCTAATATTCGATTCACCAAAAGTAATATTTGAATCACACGATTTACACTTAATAATACTGCTTAAAGTTGTAAACAGTGATTCAAATTCAATTATTCTGTGTCCGCGGATTTATTATTATACCCCAAAATAACTCGTTTTAAATGTTAGGATCTTTTATATATTATTTCTAAGATTTCAAACTACTATTTAAAACAAAAAAGGAAAAAAACGAAATCGATCTTTTGAAAATTTTAAAAACTATTCTGACTTATTAATAGCGTAGCGTGCAGTTAAATTGCATCCAAATTCTCTAATATTCGATTCGCCAAAAGTAATATTTGATTTACACTTAATAATACTGCTTAAAGTTGTAAACAGTGATTCAAATTCAATTATTCTGCGTCCGCGGATTTATTATTATACCCCAAAATAAGTCGTTTTTAAAGGCTAGGACCTTTTTGTATCTAATTTCTAAGATTATTTCTAAGACTGTTATTTAAAACAAAACCAAAAAAAAAAAAAAATCGATTTTTTGAAAGTTTCAAACTGTTCTGACCCCTTAACCTCTTACGCATGCACGTCGAGAATTTTTTGTCCGAGATTGCAACACTTTCTCAGTTTTAAGTATATTTAAATGTAACCCAAGGAAAACAAATGACAAGTTTGTTACTTCTTAATAATTTCTACCCAGTGATATCGTAGTGACGAATTCAAAAGAGAAAGAAAGCGACGAATTATTTTATACGATTCGGTCACTCGTTACGGTCCGCGAACCAGTTACCAGCGCAACGGATTAAGGAAACTTTTAAAGTCAATTTTATTTTTTTGTGCTTTCAAACGATAGCACGCGATTCTTAATAAGTACGTGTGGAAAGTATGTACAATCTTGAGGTTTGTATTCCTTCGAATTCGAAATAATTTGTATAAACTTCGAGGTGTTATGTTCCTTCGAAATCCTTCTAATTGAAGCAATTCGATAAAATCTTCCTTCTCCTACAAGAAGTCTAAATCAATGAAAGACACGTGGATTTTATTCATCAACTGCGAATACATACGTACATACAATTACGAGCGTGTTTTTCTGATTAAAATAACTAGGTTATTTTCATCCAGGCTGATTGAATTCAGCCTCACTTATCTTCCTTTTTTGTCCTCGACTATCGACCGTGGTTGTTACCTTGTTTCCATCTTTTTTCTTTTTGCACAAGACACAATTTCAATTAATACCCGGCACAAGAAATCAGAAATTGTTTGTTTGTCGAAGCGTGTTATAATTTTCTCGTCAGGGAGCTCGGTTCAACGAGGTTGCGCAATTTTCCTCGACGATGCCTCGACCGATTGAAAAATCGCCGCGCAAACAAACGCGAGTGAATTTGAAAATTAAACGGTTGAGGCACCAACCTACCGATAACGATATACACTCGTACCTCCAATTTCGAATATTCGTTAGATAAGCTGTTTCTGGCCGAATAACAAACGTATCGTCTAATTTCTTAATTGGACGATAATTTCGCAACATTAGGCGACACGTGTAATTTGCAATTTGCTCTCGTGGAATATAAACACTGTTTCATTGTCTTTTTTTGCGATAGTCGCAGTAATTTGGAGCCGCTACGTCCAAATAGGCAATTTCCATATTTTAAATGGATAGGCCGCAACGATCTATCTGAAGTAATCGTTATAGGTGGCTCGTGTTTATTCAGGTCTGAATGAACTCGTTCCCGAATACTTCGCCTCCTTTATCTCAAAGCTCTCACCCCCTTCGTTTGCTCTTGTGCGTGCTTCAAGCAGGCGGAGCTCGCGATCCGACGAGCGAGTTCTCTCCCTTTTCTCCTATTCTCTCTCACGTTTAGCCGAATATTCTCTTTCTCTTCCACCTTTTTACAAATGCTTCTTTCTCTTCTTTATTTTTTTTTTTTTTTTTTTACGAATTTTTTTTTTTTTTTTTTTTTTTTTACGTAAGTTGGCGTGACTGAGGAAATCTCAGAAAAAAAATTGATCTTTGTTAAACCTCTGCGCGAAGGGGGCTAGGCGAGCGGAGTGACTGACAGCAACCCCATGGAAAGAGCCACATGGCTCAGCACCTTGGCGAAAATTTCGGGTTCGTAGGGCCGTGGATGTAGCTTCGTAGTTCCTTCGGTGGCTCTGACCCGAAATCTGACGCCGTGTCAACGTCTGACTTGCGACAGATGATCATACGAATGTCCGTATGCAAATAAATCCGGCCAGACTTACCGGACATAAATCTGAAAGGAAATCAGTTGGTTTTTAATTTTTCCAACAGAGGCTCTCGAGTTGCATACGGACAAGTACGAAGCTAAAAATCAATTCTGGAAAAATGCAACGGAAAAGCAAAAATTTTCACAGAAAGAAGGATTATCTAAGAACAAGATATAAAGCAATAATCGTGGCTTCCACGGATTTCTTATACCGATCTTGAGATTAATAATACCAACGAGTTGGGATTGTAGATATTTTTTTTTTTCAGAATTATAGAATTTATATCTAAAGCAAGATAATTCAATAATCTATAAAATTCATTAATACCACAGATTGCTAACTAAAATGATAACTCGTAATATTTCATTGACAATATTAATCTAATCTAATCGAATTACCTAAGAGGGTCCAGATATCTATATTACTATACTGAATTTTACAATATTCACCATCTGTATTCTCTCTCCATTTCGATAAAAGGAAGCCTCGATTATTGTTAGGAACACTGATCGTGAACTTTGAAACTTTAATTAACCACAGAGTACGACATTATCGTACGTTTTAATAAAAATTTCAGAGTTTTACAAAATGAACAAAATTCAACGTCTCTAATAGAAACAGAGATGTACACACCTAAGATGTACGAGGTAGCGTAGTGTTTTGTCCCGAAGAGTTCTCTGACGTAAAAAAGTATGAGATCGTGGTGGCATATCAGAAAGATCGTATAGTACTACGAACATCTTAACGACTGTACCCAAAGGATTGAGAAGCGTTACTTGAATAGTACCGCTCCTTGGTACTTGGTAGCCCTTTTTGCCCAAATTAATATGTGCCTAGGCAAAAAGTAACAGGAATTCGTTTCATCAATGCTCCGTGTTACACTTCTAAATATTAAGTTAATGCATATGAGAAATGTAAGACATCGAACATTTAATATATTGAGAATTAATTATTTTTAGATGATTTAACATACATTTTCCAATTGACAAATTTCAAAATTTATCTTTGGAATATATGTATTAAAAGATTGTTAAAGTGGAACGAAAGATGTCTTTAATTTTCCCCGAACGTCAAATATAATTTCCCGAGTACGTCTTCCCAATGAAATTTTAATCATTCATTAATAAGGTTCCCATATTTTTATTATAAATTTCTTTGGTAATTAACAAAGTCCAACTTCAACTGCATCAACTTAATACGTGATTCAAACAAAAATAACAATAACAACAAAAGATTTCTTTTAATAAAAAATATATATATATATATATATATATACATACATATAGTAAAACAGAAGTAAAAGGATACAAGTGTACGTACGAGATAGGGCGTAGAAACTTTATCATTGTCGCCGAGCGTATAGAAGAACACAGTGACTGGAAGCTTTCGATGTTTTGGACAGAATGAACCACTGGCACCTAGTTCCGCCGTGAAACCATGAACGGTTGACACAGGTTCCAGTCTACCATTCAAAGCTGATTCCTCGAAGCTGCCTAAAAGAGCATGACTCTGTGGTCTACTGCGAGAAGTCGATCGTCTTTTCGGTGTCTCCTCCCCTTCGCCAGCATTCTCGGTTTCTCTGTCAGTTTCTTCCAGAGACACTGCACCTGGGCTTGGTGGTGTGTTTAGTTCGAATAGAGCACTGCAATAAAGAAATGTATTAACAAGTGGTTACAATTAAAATTCTATATTTAGTGGTTACAATCAAAATCTATAATCAAAATTTCATTTGAGATTTTCATCATTTATGTTAAAAAATATAAAGTGGAATTTCAAGTTTAGTTTACGGTTTAATTTATATCAAATTAATAAGTGGAAATAAAATTTTATCAACACATGATACAATTATTAATTTAAAATTAGAAAAGACTGCAAATAGTCTACTTGAGAATTACGAAAGGCAAGTACATTAAGAATATGAATATCCAGTTGCCTAATATACATTTGAACTGTTACGTGTATTTTATAAACTGATAAGATATTAAACTCTAAATCTGGTTTATCACACTTTCTATCAATAGCTTCGATCCATACCTTCTTTTCGAGGAGACAGAATTTAGACTGCTATCGTAATCGAAACAACAGCTGCCTCTTCTCAACGGAGCTGGGCTGGATGTTAGTGGTAAGCCGGTTCTACTGTGAAACACCATCGAGGCTGCATTCTCCAACGATCGCCGAAATCTTTCTTGTTCGATGGCAGTCGGTACAGCCTTGTCCACCGTTTCATCCTCCTCTGTCACCGCATTGTCTTTACCGAGGTGGTTTCGAGTCTTCTTACAAACACTCGAATCCTTGCAAGGTTTCGACAGAGTCTCGTCTTCCTCCTCCTCGTGCTCGGCTATACTATCCTCATCGTTTATACTATGCAATCTACTTTGCCACTTGGACGTCTCGACCTTGTCGTAGTCGCAGCTAGACTCCTTGTAATTTGTACTATAGATTCGTGAGTTTTGATGTGCGCCATTTGTACTAAGCTCTGAAGGATCGGGGCTCGCGTCTCGCTTCTCCGTCTCTTCAGCGAAATTCGAAAAGTCTAACCTTCTCTTCACTTTGCTGTCGCGAAGGTTCCTTGGATCGTGCAGGTTGGGGTGGACGTTGTTGTACGAGAATGAACGTTGACTTGTCTGTTGGACCACGTCTTGCGGAACGTCCTCGGTTAACTTCTTCTCTTGCTCCTTCTTGAACAACTGTCGAAACCGATTGAACCTCTTGTTGAATGCCATCGGCAGAAACTTCTCGTCTTCCTGAGACAGTTTCTGTTCGTGACTTTTATCATCACCGGTAACGTTGTTCTGGTTAGTTTCTACCTCGTTGCTGGTCATTGGTAACGCGAGCCTCGACTTGGCCTCATTGGGGACCTCTGACTGGGCTCCTCGGTCCTTGGTGGTTCGCAAAATCGCTCCCAAGAGTATGTCCGCCTTGTTCGAGACGTTCTGTAAGCAGTCCACCGTGTCGTTCGTTCGTTTCTCGGTGTTGTTACATTTCGTCGACTGTAGATCCTCGTTCGATCCGTCGCCTTCCAATTTCTCGCGTTTCTGCGGGTTATAGATGTTCTTGTTACCGTAGATGTCGACGAAGCTGACCTTCTCCAAAGCCTGTTGATCGTTCTTCCTGCACAATTTGTGATTACAACCCTCGCAAGGCTTCGCACGATTCACTATATTATTCGTGGAGCACTCGTTGCTCTCCGAACTCACGAACTTCGCCACCAACTTGTCCGAACTGTTCTCCGTTGCTTTTTCCAACCTCTCTCGCCTTTTCACCGTCCTGATGCTCGTCCTCTTACGCTCAGACGGTGTCCTAGCTCTCAAAACAGCCAGAACTTCGTCGAACTCCTGTTGACTCAACTCCAAGTTGCAATTCTTGAATCTCACCTCGTTTCCGTGCTGCTCCTGAGCTTTTAGATTCGTGGCTTTCACCTTGCTCTCCGCGTAACTGTTGTTCGGCGTCACACCGAGAACACGTCCGGGAACTTTACTGAACCAATCCAAGAAGCCACCCTCCTCCTTCGTTCTCTCCTTGTCATCAGGAAACGACAGCTTCGATATCAATTGACTCAGATCCTTGCTGCATCGCCCTTTGTTGTTTGCGCTCCTGTTCAAGTCCACGTCCAAAGCTTCCCGTCCAGGCAATACTGTTTCTGGATTCGACAGCTTGTTCGACGACTTGACACAGCTCTGATGTACCATACAGGTGGTGTTCATCGAATCCTGCTTCAAACGATTATTCGTCGAGGGGCCTGGATTTGACTCGTGGAAAGGACTGGGTTGCCTAAAGGGATTGATCACAAGGCTCGAATCCTTGTTCACTGGCGGTTTACAGTTTCTCTCGGAGTCGTTGAAGTATGCCTCCCTGTTGCCACGTAAACTCTGGAAAGCGCACTTCCCGTTCGCATTGCTGTTGTTCCAAGATTCGACGAAGGACCACGGCAACGACGAATTAAACGGTTGAATTAGATTCTCGAACAACCCGTTCTTCTCTGCGGGTTTCATCTCTGCGTCTTTCTGCTTCTTCTCCAGATTGCACTGTTTCTCCTTGCAGTTCGACTTTGATTCAGGGTCGTCGATCGTTCGTTTGTACCTTTTCTTCAGGTTCCCTTCTCGGCTGTCGATGTTCAGCTGCGTCTTGAAACACCGCTCCAGATTGTCCGAGTTCAGATTCTTCCTGTTTTTGATACTGTTCTCTTCCAATTTGCAGTACTGATTCTGCAGGCATTTAACGCCGCGATTGTTCGTGATCTCGAAGGAACATTTCGGGTAGCTGGAGCTGTGGCTATCTTTGTTCGATTCTTGAGTTACGCTCTCCTGTACCGAGGGCAGAGGCATCGGCTGGACTGTCACGCAGATGTTGGCGTCTGTTGGACCGCAGGGAAGGGATCGGCGACGTTTCCTCTCGCGATTCTGTCGTGGAATCGCCGGCGATGGCGGTGGAACGTCCTCCTCGTCGCAGGGACAGTGGTGCTTTCCAGGTTTGTTGCAAGGTGTTTGCAGTCTGTCGTCAACCAAAGCTGTTCCGGAGAAAATATACTTGATTTCGAGACACGTTTCAGTTTGAGAATTTTGGGAGAGGTTTCTTTTCGAGCATCGGCTAATTTACGATTCAAAAATATAACAAAAACAGCGGTTACTTTGTATAAAACTCATTAAATTATTAATTTAATTAAGACAAAAATTTCTGAAGCATCGGAAAGAGAATTGATACGTAGCGTGCAACTGAAAAAGAATAAAATAGAAATAGAACAATACCAGTTGTTTGAAACAATGACAAGTGAAAGAAATCTTGCAAATATGTATTATCCATGCTAACAGAAAATTTCAAAGGAACAATTTTTCCCTTGAGCAAACGCAACGAATGGAAAAAGAAAAACATGGTACTTCACGAGTACCGAAATATTATACACGCATGTACACATGAACATACAGAGAAAGAAAGAAAGAGAGAGAGAGAGAGGGACTCGAATGTTGAAATATCACGCTGATCGATCCCGTGTTCCCCTCATTACCAGGCAAAACGAGGCCTTCGGGATTTTGTGCGGCGGTTGGAACCGGGATAGCCTTGGTCGGTGTCAAAGCCCTCGCGACACCCTCCTCGTCCTTCTCTTTGATCGGGTGCAACGGGCAGGTGAGAATCGGCACCTCCTCCATCCTCGGCAATGCCCACACGGTGACCTAAAATTCACACGAGATTTCCTCTTCAGCTCCATTAGATTGCAGTCGCGGTACTCGCAACGAGAGAGAATTCGGTAGCCGGACTCGGTGACTCATCTGCATGGTTAAAAGTAGGCATTCGTTAGTGTCCTCGAGCCACCAAAATAGAACCGTGCAAGGTATACTCGGCGAGAGTGGGAACCACCATGCGAATTACATGGACAGTTCGAGGAACATTGACCTCGTGTTTATCGCGAGTCAAACGCGTCGTTTCGAGCGTTCCTGGCGAGCTGCTGTTTGCCAGAGAATCCGTGGGATCGATTAAGCGCATCTATCTTCATCCGAACGTAGATACATTTCAAACGCGAGACAGAATGATCACAGAACGAATAATGGGTGAGGATGATATTAACAGACCAGATCAGACGAGGTCGATGAATATAGGATTATTAAATATCTGGGACAAAAGTGATACAATACAAGAAACATAATTTTCGAGTTGTAACTAGACGGCGGATTTATTAATGTTTTTTTTAGAAGAAGCTTGAAACGCTAGTATGGGAGAAAATGTAGAAAATATTAAAAGTACAGTGCTTTCTGTAGAGTAATCCACCGAAGTTCTATTTTTGTTATATTCTTTTATTATAAAAATTAAATTTCATGAGTTTTTCAGTAGAATTAAAATATTACAATTAAATAAAGTGCAGTTAGTATATATTAATATAAATTCTATTCCTTGAAATATTATTATATTCTTAAAAATATGAATTTGTATAGAAATCCACAGTCTACTTACCTTGATGATGAGACTTATTAAATATTGATGAAAGTAGTTAATTAGTTCTGAAGTATATTTTGCATTTTCTTCCTACTTATCTATTAAAAACTTCTCTTTATCACGATACCTGTATGTACATACAATTTTGGAAAGATAAATTTATTTAATTTAAAAGTAGCTAATAAAGAAATATACTATTAGATCAAATTCGACCCTCGACAATATTCTTAGATTTAAGTGGAGGAGAAGGATATCGAAATATATTGATAAAGGATAAAGATCAATTTCATTACTTTTATGGAATTTCCATCGCCCTGGCCAGCTAAGGGGAACGTGTGCTCCACTGGAGATTCCCGGAATTTTCTCAGATTATCCTCGTTATACGGCACCACCCTCGTCGTGATGTAACTGGGATCGGTGCCGTTGCTCCGGGACCACCAAGCGGCGACCTGGCTGAAGTGAAGTCGTGAACGAACTGCCTGATATAATCCATAGAAATTCATCGTCTCTGGACCTCTGTGGATTATTAATAAAAGATAGATGATCACACAAAATTCTTGTAATAATTCTGATATAAATATGTGATAAAGATACTTGTATAAATTTCATCGATTATAATTAAAATATATGTGGGAATTATAGGGTACAGTAATGGATAAAACAAAAATTCGAGAGAAACTTTCAGAAAACAAACAATTACTGTGACTTTCTTCGAATATTTTCTCGATGAAAATTCAGTCAGAAAACTATCAATGGTGTAGAATAGCTTACTTGCTGGGAACGACGCAGACACACCAGTACTCCAATAGAATCTCCGAAGCTTGTTGCCATGGTGAGATTGATAAGGACGGCACGGTGCAGATCGGATTCTTGCTCATAGATTTGGTCAAACCGCATGGACAGTCGCTGCACAACACTACCTCGATGCACAGGAACGAACCAATTGCGACACGGTCCGCGATCTCTCGAACCAGCACAAGATACCGATCGCACTGCGCAAATTACGCGAAGACAGAAAGAGACAAATGAAAAAAATCATTTCCTAGACAGAAATTTCAGCTACGTCTTTAATACATAGGATTGAAAAGTTTTAATAACGATGTCATTTTATTTTCGAAACAAACGACACTATGGTGAAATAATCCTAAACAAAATTCTACCCAAGTGAAATGAAAATCTCTTGAAATACAAAATTTAAAAAGCGTTGTTCTTTACTGTCTCCTACAAATCCTTTTTATTTAGGTGTCATTTCTAATGTTTTAATTATTTGTACGAACAGTCTTGCTTCTTTTCGACAATTTTGCACAAAAGAGCGGAAACATAAAAATATTCCGATATATACTTGAAAAAAATATCAGATAAGATAATTTTAATTAGATATTAAAGCACAAGAAAAATAAAAATTTAAAAGTCACTCCCAATGTCCAAGAAATGTATGCTTCAATTCTGAGTTACAAAAAGAAATAGGAATAGTATTATGAGAGTAACGTAAGGCACTTTGGAGAATATTTTGAAAAAGGAAATTAGAAGATTAGAACGTTTACCTTACCAAGTAATTATTTTCTTCGCACACGTGGTCGTTAGGCACCGTTTGCATAGGCGCTGCACAGTGTGGGCCCTCTTTGTAACCACGTGGAGGGCCCTGAATCCTCCCTTCGCATACAAGGACTCCAAGAGCTCGGAACACGCTAAGAATGCCACCCCGACCGCCAACCCCATTTGGGCTGGGAATGCCTCCTGTCACCGCACCTAGGCAGTGCATACCTGCAACAAAACAGAAAATTTCTATCATTAGTAAAAGAAATATAGAATTAAAAAAAAAAGGAATGAAATTTCCCACTTGAATCAAGGAACAGAATAATACGGACAGTTACAATTATTAACCCACTAAATTAGGAATTTCTATTAGAATTGTTCTCAATATTCTCAATTTACTTGCTGCTTAAATCTCGATACTTATATTTTTCACCTAGATTCCATAGAAATTGAAAAATGTGTATAACATCATAAGCGTGGAATAAACAATACAAATATTTATAATTGTATTTCTGTGAATGAAACATCGCTCGAGAAAGAAGACGCTCGAACGTTCGACGTGACAGGGAACGCAATTGATAAATTGCTGGAGTGTTCGACGATTGAAATGATCGTTTTTTCCACGTGGAAAACTCTGGACACGAACACGAACCTGTGCGCATTCTCCTTCTGTGGAAGCAATTTCCAACGCACTGCAACAGGATCGTCGATATTTTCGAGAGCTGCTCTCGGGGGAATGAAAACTGGAACGATTCGCGCACGACCATCGCTATCGTCAATCTCGAACACGCCACCACGATGTATCATGCTTCGAACTCCAGGTCCAGGTACTTTCCTCGCGATATCTTCATCGGTAGAACAAACTTTGCTCCTCGAACCGATCACGTTCAGAGGAAAGACTGACGCGCGTCGCCATTGTCTCTATTTTTCGTTGTGAATCACCGCGAATAAAAAAGATTTCACGCTCATTGTGCGTTCTTGTCGTTCATTGTTCAATCCTTGAACGTGTCGTTTCTCGATTTTACTTTCATTCTGATTGAAGGAGAGAGTACTTTCAATTTTTGAGAATGTCTTCTAGCGTAGAACGAAAATGAGAATATGTGATTAATCAATTGTTTGCAAGGATCCATTTAACAGTAGGAAAATACAACTGAATTTTTGAGATTTTTTTATGGAAATAAGGAACTGAAATAGATAATTGCAAGCGACAATAGCTATTCTTTCATATTTAAAAAATTTTGTAACATATCGAAAATGAGTCAATTGGAGAGAAAGGATTTTGATATACTCAACAATTTTTAAACGACAGCTTAAGGCAAATGTTGCAAATGTTTGAAATAAGAAATCACACGCAGATATCAATAACAATTTCTTCTCGCTTTCTTCAAGATCGTGAAATTTCCTAACATTATTAAGTCATTAAAGGCCTCGTCACTGAATCTCTAAATTTTCCTGAATTATTACACATCCAATGTCTCCAATAAACAAGTGAATTTCAATGAAGAATAAGAAAGAATTTGCAACAATTATTTGACAGTTTCAAATTTCCGTTTAATTTAATTGACTCGATTCCAATGTCAGTTAACAATCTCAGGTGGGTTTTCGTTTTGACGAACAGCCAGGATTAACTAATCTCAGAATAGTTCTTTCAGCGCGAAAGATGAAATTATTTCTCTTTTTGCCGGGCTTGCAAAATGTCTCCCACGAAAAACGATCGAGTTTCGGCGGAAAGCGAGTGTTACGCCTTCTAATAACTTCTCGTGGTTTCCTTGATTTGCGAGCGGCGTAAAGCGTTTTGTTTCGCTCGATTGCTGAAACACACCCGAAGGAAAGCGACGAGGAAGCCAATCCGGTTGGTCGCTTTCGCCGCATATGGCGTCGGGGCAAAGTTATAAATAATGCCCATCGCCCTCCTGCGTATTCACTTTTACATAATGACCGGCAGAGGAGGAACGACGAAATCTCGGATCGGATGTCAGGTGAAAAAGAAACGAGGGAAAACCGTACGAAAGCTTTGCCCCGTCATATCTCTGCACACCGATATCTCGATACCTTATAAGTGAGATTTTTCAGCTCCTACGAGTTTCACGAGCCTTTCTTCCAACGACCGTTTAGTTCCTTTCTCATACAGAAAACTTTCATTCCTGACGAAACGTTGCTACGCACCGAAATACACCACTCTGTCGTATCGACATTTTCAGTCTTCCTTTTAAATTGAATATTTAGATCTTTTCAAAGATTATTCTTACTTCATTTTGATATCGTGTTTTTTTTAAATATTTAAACTGTCGAGGCTGCCTCCGAAGAACTCGTTGAACAGAACTTCGAGTAGAATAGAATAAAAATATTTCGTTATATTAAAAAAAACTTTTTATAATTAATTGGAAGAAGTTTGGATCGTCGTGGCTCTCGTATTTGTAATGTGTCAAATAATCCATTAAACCTTGGATATTTCATAAGTTACAATACTCGATGCTTTCGTATACGTTCGATGAAACAGAGACATAGTATTAATAATTCCATTAGAGCACCAATTTTTTAACAACCGTCTCTATCAATAGATTCGACCGAAATTCTGATGTAGATGGTTGGAAAAGATACAATGCAATATAAATTTGTAGATGAATCTGCAGTCTCTGAACGTTTTATCTGACTGATTGTGCCACTGATACAATAAATTATTGACGCTGATCGTATTTCCCGATGTCGTTATCTTCCTTTCGTCCACCACTGTACTTAATTCGAGAAACCGAAAGGAACAGGATCGTACCCGGCACTGGAGGGGCTACTACTCGCGATTAGGCGACGCGAAAAATTGCCGAGAGCCAGAGAGTCGGAGCTCTGGTTGCGACTCTGGTGCCCGCACGATGAGGAATTTGAATAAAGAACTGCGCGGCACACTGGTTCTCACACTCGCGTCTTTCGCGTGTATGTTCGAGGGTCTGTGTACTACAAGGGAGAGCTTGTGGGGCTCCACGAGGGTGATCGTACTCGGGTGTCATGCGCAAAAAGTTCGCAACCCTTGGCGAAGTCCTTTGAGAGACGCTGTTAGGATTAAGAGGCAACCTCCGGCCTCGGCCGAGATACGTTTTATGCATAAACAAGAAACAGAATCGGAGTGATTCGTTGTTTAATTGATGACAATTAACACTTTCAGTGCCTCGTAGACTTTGCTCATTAGCTATAGACGTGGGTGGATTATCTTAACGGATAAGAATTGCAAGTTGACAGATTATTCCCTCCAGTTTAAAAATAAATTGATAGACGTTGGCGTGAAATTAGTATGATATAATAAAATGTAATAAATATTCACTCTGCTACGTATATTTGAGAAAATACTTTTACTTTCACTTCCAATTCTACGTTAACTCTTTAATCTTTATAAATTTATATATATATATAATTAAATATAATATAATTAAATAAAGTTATATAATAAAAATATATTTTAGTAATAATTAAAAATTAATAATATTATCAATGGTTTAAAGTAATGAAAATGAATTTTTTAAAATATAAATAAGTAAAATTTATTTTGTACCTTTTGCATCAGTGTTAATTAATTAATTTTAATAATTTTAATTATCTCGAAGGTAAAAAGTGTATATATATATATATTTTTTTTACAAAATAAAAAAAATAAATATATATTTAGAAATTAAATGTTTGTCGTATTTATTAACATCTAGTTTTTTTTTAATTGTAGCGGCCTATAGTCCCTCGAGTACAAATGGCTGTGTACGAAGTCTAACGATCTTCGATGTTAAGCAAACGGAGTGCGGAACACCGCTAGGATGGGTGATCGTCCAGCTAGTAATTATAACAATAAGCGTCTGAGGTAAGGGGTCGCTGCCATCAGCCCCCACTGATGAGTCTAGGCAGCAATTCCGAGACAAACCTATCCTTCCTGCGTCCTCGCACCATCTCAATACTCCTTGCCCTTCATAATAAATTTAATTTATATATAAATTTTGTATCCAAGCTCCTTATGCTTGAATAAATTAAATTAAACCAAAAATGAAGGATTTCATTGATCCCAAGTCTCGAACTTTGTATTCCAAGTGTAGGTGCCTCAAACGGTGAAAAATTGTTCTTCGATCCCCGTGCTCTGATCCCGAAACGATGAATATTCTTCACCTTGAATGGTATCACGAAGTTTTGCAATAATTTACTTGCTGGAAGAAGTAGCTGCTTTATACCGCTTCTAATCGCGTCGCCCGATGCACTGTAGCAGCCGATAATCCGCAAGTGAAATCTCGTTAGCACCCAGGCACTGTCTTTTCTTGTATAATTAACCGGTGTAAATCCTGCAGAGCAAGTTGACCAACAGATTCCTGGCAAACGGCGGGTGGTTTTTTCAGCGTCGGAGAGCTGCCAGACGCAGGTCGTTTTAAGCGGCACGATGATGAGCGAAGCGAAGATGAAGCTAAGCCGGGGATCGATCGAAGGATGAAAAGCGGACGGCGAATTCGCAACCTTCCCAACAGCAATATATCAAGTTCCTTTCAAAAGAACAAAAGGAGATCTCTCTCTTTCGTCGGTGGTGCGCGCCGAGAAATAAAAAAAAAAAAAAAAAAAAAAAGATTACTGCCACGATGATACACGAAGTATCGAAGTAGGTATTTCTTTCCAAGTTCGGAAATTCCGAAGATGCCGTCTTGATCGAGGGCCGGAGGTAATCGGGAAATGAAAAGATCCTCCCATACTCTAAACTTGTACAGTTTTGATCGAAGATGCGATCGAAGAATAAAAGGGTTCCTTCGTTGACAATGACGTCAAAGAAATGACGACGAGAAACTTATGGTGCTTGGTACTTCAATTTAGACAATTAAAAAATCTAAAAAAAGAACAAAAAAAAAAAAAAAAAAAAAATAGCAAGAACCAACGAGGAAGACCTTCACCGACGTAAAGGGTTGATGTTACGGAATAAAAGACCGAGGTCGAAGCTGCGACGCGTGTACATACGTACATGCGAGCGAACGACGCAGGAGGTTGGTTGAGAGAGGTGCAGCACGGTGTAAATGCACCGGGTTGGTCCAGCTGAGAAAACACCGGCCTGTTGGCGCCGGGTATTATCCAGCCTGGAGTAAACAAGCCGGCGAGAATTATTCGGGCAAACTTTGTACTTTCGCGGCTCTCTTTGTACGTACTTATCCGCGGAGAGTCGGTGAGCCAACGGATTCGCTCTTAATTGCGTCGACCTTCGCGCGATTTCCAATAAACGTCGT